AACGGGCCGAGTAAAAGCTAGCAACTATTGTGAGATGCTCATTTCCCGAAAACCGGCGGGATAGGCGATTTTTTATTCGATTTTCTGAAATTCGGTTTCTGTAAAACTTACTCCACCTCAACATATTACCAGAAACAATATTGTTTCACAAGGTAACAGGTACTTGATTTTGGTTCATAAGGCTCATTTTGATTCGTTGCATCATTCATGTCCTTTCCTACTAAAATTCACTATTTTTATCATGTGTTTCCCAAAAAAAAAAACTATACAATAATAAGCTATACACTCCATTACATTATCAAATTTCATACATCACCTTCCTCCGGCCAAATGGTCGGGGCCCACGCTAGTTCATTGTTATAAGATATAACAAAAACAAATCTCATTTATCTCTCTCTTAAACGGGCTGAATGAGTCCTCTGCCAATCTACTAGAAACATAAATTCTTCTTGTAACTAACTTTGATTGACCGTGAAAACTCAGTGAGTACAGATAACCAATTTTGTTTATATACACAGAAGAAGAGAGAGAAAGCGGGAAAATTATATTAGACCTAACGGTCAGGTAAGAAATTAAGTAATGATCCTTAAAAACTTAATAACTAGTACACATTGTATGAAAAATCTCCATATCGATCCTTCTCTTCTCTAATACAATTGGCAAGGAAATTATTACATTGGGTTGCTAGCCTAAGGGTGGAAGATGTTATGGCTAATTGGGTTGCTAGCCTAAGCACGAAAATGAATAATTAATTACGAGAAAAAGACATACACAAGACAAACGATAATGGAGATGCCATTGACATCAGTCCTCATTATGTCTCTCTCTACTCTCTCACTACAATCTAAAACCTCTCAACTTCACACAAGCATTCCAGCTACCCCTGGGAAGCATTCAATTACCTCTTTTCAAATATGCAAAAGGCAGAAGTGCCAGACCCTTGCCTTAAAGTTGCAATAGAAGATGAACCTAATCTCAAAACCACCAGAGATCTGCAATCGGCCTTCCAACAAGGAACCATCATTTATGAGGGCTGGTTTGAAGTCAGGAAAGTAAAAAAGTGCCCAATTCTCCTACCATTTAGAAATCATGCTATCCGGGTGACGGCAAACCCCTCTCTCCCCAGCTGGCCTACAGAACACATCCTCTGGAAACCTCCTCCATGGATCCCAACCAGAAGACATTTATTCCTCTTCCCCTTCTTTGCACCAACATATGCCCCTGTAGCATACATCAACTATGGCATTTATGTGAAGGAGGCTGGAATATCGAGCCACACAAAGGGAACTTCTCAGTACAAATTGGATCTTCAAGATTTTCTCGGGGACAGTTCAAATCAATCACCCAGAATTCAATTGGGAGAGGATTGATATTGCTACACATATTCAACTACAAATTGATAGCCTATATTACCCATCATAAAGAGTCCTCATATTTCACTTGTTCTTACCAAAACTACAGAGATAACATTTACTTTCCCAAAAAACCATTATGCATTGCACAAACCAAAAACCCTCAACCTCACAATGGAGCTGGTCCAAGCAAATAACCAAGCAGAGTAGGGCCATCTGGTTATCAATTTCCAACCTCAAGGAGCAGGATCTGGAGGAAGGGAGAACACGGTGCTGAGCACCAAATGGCTAACAAACAACAATACTTCTCTGGGGAAGGCAATTAACGCGGCTCAAAACAAATGGAGGGTCCAAGGAGAACTCACCGTCAAAAGGGAGGGGGAAACCTCTTCGTCTACTCATTCAACACTGCTGCTGCTAGAGATGCGATCCGGAATTCTCGCCCGTGGAGCCTGGCAAACACACTACTGGTAAGGATGACAATGGGGCAGGTTTTCCTAAACCATCCCCATCCCCGTTTTCAAATATTTATACCCATACCCGCCCCATACTCATGTGGGGGAAGGTTTTGCAAACCCATCCCCATCCCCATGGATTTCGGGTACCCATGGGTAATACCCGCCCTGTACATTCAGCATGATAATACCAAATATTTTACATGTAGATTTTCAATTATAATATTAAACGCACCTACTATATCATGAAGTCGACAAAGAGACAATCATTTTTAATACTATTCAAAGCATCTTATCCTAAAGCATCCATTAATCCATATCAGAGTAGAGTACAATGTTATCCAAATCATTATTCTCTACTCTGATACATCTATTAAGTAATAATTAACTAACATAATCTTCTTAACAAGAGGAAAAACTGAACAAGTGAAGGGAAATTGAGAGGAAGAAATTAGATTTTGATATGGGTGGCCACTCAATTGCATTTCTACTATATAATTTTCTTCAGTTATACTCACTATTATTGATAGGTTACAAATTGATTCACATATTTTTCATATATGAAGAAATATTTTTGATGGGGCGGGTATGGGTATGGGGTGGGGGAGGCTAAAACCATACCCGCCCCATACACATCAAACTTTTTGCGGGTTTTACCCATACCCGGTCAATGCGGGGATTCCCCACGTTGACTGGGTCGGGGGCGGTCGGACATCCATGGCCCGTGGGCATGAGTTTGATTTCCATCCCTAACTATTAGCATTCCAAAAGTGGTATGGAGAGACCAAACCGGAAGAAGTGGATTTCCCATCTGTCACCCTATGGGTTCAATTTCACGATCTCCCATAAGAACTGAAGGGAGAACTGGACATCGAAACTATTATTGGATTCGTCTTCCCCAGAGTGCACAAAGTTGACACACCAAGCCTTGAAGCAAACGGCTGGATGAGATTCACCTTAGTGCTAGTGGAAGTTGACCTTCAAGAACCTGGTTTCGAATACCCTGTGGGGAGGAAGCTGATGTGGATCAGTTTCAAGTATGAGAAGGTCTCGGAGCTCTGCTACTTTTGCAACATAATTGGACACCTAATCCATGTCTGCCAGGTGAGAGAAGAGATCAGGAGGAAAGGGGGAAACATCGAGCCATCGGGGTTGTACACTTTGACGCTCAAGGTTGGGTTTGATTCACAGGCAGCATCACCGTCAGAGTCTTTTCTCCACAAGGTACGAGGGCAAAGTGAGACTGAAACTACCCTGCTAGAGAGAGGGAGTACTGCATCCCCCACGTGCCTGGGGAACCCAACTCCAACTGCTCGCTTGTCTGCTTACAGGGAATCCTCGCCTGCTACTCCGCCTGGGGTTGGGAGCCTTCTCTTTCTCGGTTAGAGATCCATAACGGATATTGATCTCTTCCATATATCTCCAAATACTACTGAGAGACAGATCTTCTATCCTAGAAGACTTGAAGAAGACCTAGAAGAAGTGCCGGAAGCTGTCCACCATTCTATTGACCTCAACATAGAGGCAAACCTTAGAGGCCTTAGCCCAACTTCTTTTGAAAATAGTGGGCCTAGGGGCTTAAGCCCAATGATTGGCAAGGAAGGAAAGGGTTGGAGGTCTAATTCGCAAGGCCCGGAAGTAGGAGAAGGACAACACAACCTCTCTATGATCCAGGAAGCCCAGCTGAATTATGAAAGGGCCCTTGGCAGAGCTGAAAAGAAAAGGAAGCCAGATTGGCTACTTAACTTGAGTACCAGCCCAGTCGATGAAACCATCCCCCCAGGTTGAAACAAGAACCTGACGTTCAGCCCAGGTTCATTAGACGTAGGAATGAAGGAGCAAAGAAGGAAGATGACAGGAAAGAAGAAGATTTTCTCAGGTTACTACATTGAAACTCAGGAAATAGGGGACTCAGCTTCCATTCTCAGGCAGCGGTGGATCGCCTTAAGCCACCAAATCCAGAATGAGAATCATAAGCTGGAACTGTAGGGGGTTTGGCCAACCCCTTACACGCAGCTACTGTAGAATATTTTGCAGGTCAATAGGCCCCTCTATTTTGTTCCTCATGGAGACTAAGAATGAAGAAAACTTCATGGAGGAGACGAGGAAGCAAATGCAATTTAATCATGCGGAATATGTTAATCCTGTTCAAGGTGGCAACGGTTTAGCCATTTGGTGGAAGACTGGAGTTGTCGGTCCAAATTTTAGATCGAGTCCTAATTTCATGGATGCGTGTATTAGCTTTGCCAGTAGTTTCTTATGTACGTTTTTGGATGCCTCGACCACTGCGATGGAAAGAAGGGCTTTTTGAGAGCGTATGAGCTCTTTTCGTAGTAGTATAGATGAAAAATGGATAATTGTAGGAGACTTGAACGTGGTACTCTATGATCACGAGAAGGAAGGGAGATGTCCCTTACGCAATGAAAATGTTACCCCATTCAAGTATTTCATCTCCAATAACGCTTTGATGGACCTAGGATTCAAAGGGGAAAGGTTCACGTGGTCTAACAAACAACAAGGCTAGAATCTCATAAGGTAAATGTTGTACAGAGCGTTTTGCTCTGCTGCTTGGCGGGGGGAAGTTTGAAAAGGTTGTTGTTTTCGAAGAAGTTGTAACATCCCAAACCTCGGGTAACTTTTAAATCAATTCGGTTTGATGAGGAATCAAGAATTTCAACCATACTCGAAGAAATTGCGACCACGCCGAATGGTTTATGAAATGATGAATATTCTGTAATGATGTATCAGATATTGCGAACAAATGTTGATTCCTCAAGTTAGAAAATTCTTCCACGATCACGTAGAATTTCACGGAACTAAGTTTGGATTCCAAACGAGTGAGATATGTCATTTTGAAGCCTGCACTCCGTACTGAAATAACGTACGTACCAACAATGATTTGGGCACAACTTTTTCATTCGGAATCGAAACAACGAACCGTTTGCGCTCACACGATCGTATAGACAAGGAGAAGATTTCAGGAAGAGCAACTCCGCAACAAAACTATCCATTAAATTTTCGACCACTGAATTCTTTCTTTAGCCAATCCAATTTATTCATTATAGAATTGTGACCAATTTTATCCCACCCCTCTGCACCTCACTTCCAGCAAAGCTTGAGCTGGAAAACGACTGCCAACCGACAGCCTTCACTCATCCACCCACTTCTTGTTGGCGTGTGATAATTGAGACAAGGGTGGACAGGAGGCTTTAATAATAAAGGATGGAAAGCTTTCTTCTCTTCCTCCCAATTCACCACCGCCATGGACGAACCAAAAACCTTGAGAGGAAAGAAGAGAGAAAGAAATAAAAGAGAGGGAACTAAGCTCCTGTGGGTTGTGGGTTGTGTTAGAGTAATCAAGGTGTCCGGAAGCCAACTACGAAGTCGGAATCGCCATTGGAGGTTTGTAGAAGCTCATGGGAGGTTGGTCGGAAAGTTGCGTCGACGGCACCGGCGTCGTCGACTTCAACAAAACTCCAAAAGGCTGGTACCATGACAAAGAGGACGATCCCAGGAGCATCCCAGTTTCGACGAAATTAAATTTGGAGGTCTGTAGATACCTCGTCGGAGCTTCGCCGGAACGTCGCCGGAGTGTCGCCGGATTCTGGAAAAATAAACTTCAACAAAACTTCAAAAGATGAATATGGTTGCGAAGAGGGCGATCTCAGGAGCGTCACGGTGCCGACGAAATCGAATTCGGACGTCGGATGAGGGAGAACCGAGTCTCCCAAGTTTGAGGAAGAATATGTCAACCATCCAGGTACCATGTCTGGTAAATCGAAAAGTTAAAGGACCTCTCAGTAATTTTCCTACAGAGACGGGTCAACCTCTTTTTAGTTGACTGGTAAATATCGTATTTAGTCCCTGGTACTTTGAGTACTAACGGAATTCGTATTTCGTTCATAATTCGTTCGTTTGACGTCCAAACGACGAACCGTTTTCACCTACAGGATCGTGAGAACGAGGAGAATATTTTGAAACCAAGATCTGGAATTTCCAGAGCTTTCACAGAATCGGATTTCGTCATAAATAAGGTGTGTGGGCTTACGGTAAAAGGGAACCGGAATTACGTGTTTATTTCTAAATACGCATGATTGAGTTGATGATTAATGATTATGATGGATTTGTGATTGATTCATGATTGTGATCTTGGATGAAATTGTTGATGAAGTTAACTGATTTTTATGATAATAATTATTATTAATCTCGTATTGGAATTGTTATGTATATGGTGAACTCCGAATATTTTATGAAAATGTCTATTGAGATAATAATAAGGAAAGGAAATTTAAGAAATCTTTAGACGACATTAGTCATGATATATTACCATGACAATGATTATATTGGTAATAATTGACTTTTCGGAATTAATTGGAGTTATGACGTTAAAAGGGTGAAATTGGGAATTAATAAATTGGATGAGTATATGAGAAGTGAATTTTGGTTAGAATAATTAAAATAAAGAATTTATGAACTTTGTTGGATTTTTGGATGGATGAAACCGGTTTCTACGTGGTTTCGTTATTAAAGGGAACGTATTATGATTTTCAGAATAGTGGTGATTAAGAGAAAATTATTTAAACTAGAGTGTGAGTTCAAAGATATTACCATGAGTAATTTTATCTTGGATTTAATTTGATTTACGTTTTATGATTAATTTTGAGAAATGGTTATTTGAGTATTTAATTGAAATATTGAAAATAGTCTTATTAATGAATCATGACGAACTATGAGTTAGTTTGTACTTTAAGAAATACTTATTGAGAGATGTGTTATTAGGGGAGACCTGTTCAAATGGACTTTTGATAATCATGAGAATTATATATATGGGTATGGTCCTTAGAATGGTTCCAAGTTATTAATAGAAATTCTTAAAAACAAGATTTTGATCATAATAATTAGTTGCTATTTTGATATAATTAACTAATGGATGATATGGATAAACCGATGTATTTTAGATTATATGGTTCGTATGATAAAATGATTTATGATGAATGAAATATATATTTTTCATTTATATGTATGATTATAATATGATGATGATGATGATGATACGAATATTGATTGCTAGTGATACGATTGACGTGTATGATTATGACGTGATTAGAATATCGATTGGTATAAATGTGATTGGTAATTATAAATATTACTGAGATATTTTGAGATAATGTTGATATGATGAATGATTTGATTAATGATGAGGTGGATGAGATATTATCATATGATCGATTTGTATTTGATGTGTTAAATGATTACGATAAGTGAATGAGGTATTGATAAATTGAGTACTTGGTAGATTTGTCAAGTTTGATTGAGGAGAATGAATTATTTATATCATTGAGAAGATGATGATTATATTGAGATCATGCAATGCATCAAAGTATGCATAGATGATGTGAGATATGCATGGACTGGGAATATCAATGGGACGCTGTTGATTTCTTGGATCTATTGAGATATGATGGAAGAGAGAAATCGATATTGTTTGATCATGTTAAATCACATAGACATAGAAGGGCCTATGCCTACCCCTATGAGATTGATTGGGCTGCGGTCCTAACGAAAGGATTTATGATAATCCTAGATTTGATGAGATTGTGGTTTTCGTTATAACCACTAAGATGATGAGCTCGAGCGGGGTGGGCGTATGGTGACCTTAGCGCGCAAATTAATAATAAATGGAGAGTCTGCATTTCATGCATTGCATATGATATATATACGATGGAGATGATTTCCATGAAGGAAATCGTGAAGTGATATTTGATTGATGATTGATTGAAGGATTGATATGGTTAATGCCAAATTGGTGATTTGATTATGGATGAATGATTGACATGCTTGATGCTTAAATGATGAGTTGACTTTGAATGAAAGATTGATATGATGGATTCATGAGTTGAGGTAAGTTTGCGATTTTATGTCGATATATGACTTGATTAATGAAAGCCATACCATGAGGAATTGGGGTAAAGACAAATTTGGATTGATGACCTAGAAAGAAATCTAGAGATTAATGAGATTTTTGTGTGGCATGATAATTTGTTGATGATGTGTTTTTAATCAACAAGATGTGATGATGTGTTGGCATGCTAACAATAGTTTTGCCGTATAGGCCAGGTCCACACACTCAGCTTAGTAGCTGACCCATTTTTCTTTCTAGATGTGACAGGTGTGATAAATTGAGGATGACTCTGGCACTGCACAATGATCGATGGAGGATTTTGGTTTAAAAGGTTTTTCACCTATTGGTGTATTCTAGAATCCTTATTTCACGATTCGGGTTTTGAGCATGCATGATAGTTTACAATGGTCAAGCATGATCATTAACTTGAGTTGAGTATGAATGGAGTACATAAGATTGATAGTCTGGGTTTGGTGAATCTTGAACTTGACTAAGAGGGATTAATGAATTGAGAATATGATTTTTAGTAAATTGTTATGATGAGTTGAATTTTAAACATGTGAGAATGATGTGGATGTAAGTTGAGTTGGTATTTTGAATACGTAAACCCCGAGTGATTTCCGCTGCGCGGTTGAACCATCGGTTCGACCCATGATTTTAGGTTGGGGCGTTACAAGTGGTATCAGAGCCCGGTTTGTTTTCTGCATTATAGGTATGTTACTTTCACTCTTGAGAACTGATCACTCTCAAAAGGGGGAAAGTACTCCATACCCGTATTTGCACTGAACTTTCCAGGAGTTGAGACCAACCTGATGTTGTGATGCATAGTCAGAGTCCGTTGCATTCAGTAAAAATGATTTCGAGCATTTTTAGAGAAACATTTGAAATGAAATCGATTTGAGAATTCTTTTGAAGAAAGTCTTTTGACGAGTCATTTGAGACGAAAATTGAAAAGTGATTTCCTCCTCCAAGGAACCATCGATCTGTGCAAAAGGTGCCATGTCCCAATTTAAGGGATGGAGTTTCCTGATTCACGGGAAACAAGAGTTGAAAGAGTTAGTAGGAATTCTGCAAACCTTTAAGGATTGCCGATTTCATTTTCGGATTTAGAATCCCAAGTTTCATCATATTAGTTGAGGTCAGAGAGACCCAATCTAATGATAACTTTTTGATACATTAGACTAAATATGTGACGAGTGGTAACATGGATTGAGGAAAAATAAAATCCTCGAGGATTCATGGAACGAGATCTCTCAGTAGACTATTAAGTACGAGAATAAGTCGAGATGAGGAGACGTTAACTAGCATGCGGTGAAAATGATGACAGTTGATTGACAACGAGATACATCATCAAAATAATGATGTGAAAGGAGACAGATGACCAAAAGTTCAGGTCAACACCTTAGGAGTCAGAGGCACCAATAGAGAGTAGATGTGATGGCAGAATAATGGACAAGTTAGGAGCTAGAGTAAAGGCAATGAGCCCGGAGCTAACTCATGACATGATCAACTTATGATCGGTATGAGTATGTTAAAGCACAAAAGAGACGTGCGATAGCAAGCGCGTAGCCAAAATTTAGAGGCGATATAGATTAAACTCTAAAGTGACAAATTGGTGCTATATGTTATCGGATGGTAACTGACACTATGGGATTAGCATCATGAGCAAAAACGACGAAGCTCTAGATAGATTCCCAAACCATGAATCAAATTCTTGATGAATAGACGGAGAGGATGGGAGGACGTGAAGGAAAATCCATCTCAAAGAATGAGAGTTTTCTTGAATACAATAAGGAGATGCCGAAGGACTGAGACTTGATGTTTCATCTGGAAGAGACAAGGTTCTATTGCGAACGATCATGTAAGCGATTGTGACAGGAGACAAGCAAGATGACAAATCGTTTAGTGATGCCATTTATGACGAATGGTTGAGGAGGAGATCATGGATTACATGAGAATAGATAACGCCTAGTTTTGATTTGGAAGCTAAAGAACATTAATGCCTAAGGTCGTGGAGAAAGGCTGGAAAAGTAGGAACACGTCCAGAGGGACCATCAAAGCATAAGTGGGGGAGCGTGCTAAACTAACAAAAGTGTACCCCTCAAGATACATGATTAACCTAATGATTATGGCAATAGGTTGACATCATTCAATGGTTCCACTTCTTAAATCATCACAACCAAGTGAGAAGAGACATGAGAAAATAAGAGGGTTGACCATCCTCGGTGCTCTAATTAAGCGTTATTCACGATGGAGTTGGTTCAAAGGATGTGTACGCGAGATTGACCAACACTTTGATTTCGGGGACGAAATCCAATTAAGAGGGGGAGAGTTGTAACATCCCAAACCTCGGGTAACTTTTAAATCAATTCGGTTTGATGAGGAATCAAGAATTTCAACCATACTCGAAGAAATTGCGACCACGCCGAATGGTTTATGAAATGATGAATATTCTGTAATGATGTATCAGATATTGCGAACAAATGTTGATTCCTCAAGTTAGAAAATTCTTCCACGATCACGTAGAATTTCACGGAACTAAGTTTGGATTCCAAACGAGTGAGATATGTCATTTTGAAGCCTGCACTCCGTACTGAAATAACGTACGTACCAACAATGATTTGGGCACAACTTTTTCATTCGGAATCGAAACAACGAACCGTTTGCGCTCACACGATCGTATAGACAAGGAGAAGATTTCAGGAAGAGCAACTCCGCAACAAAACTATCCATTAAATTTTCGACCACTGAATTCTTTCTTTAGCCAATCCAATTTATTCATTATAGAATTGTGACCAATTTTATCCCACCCCTCTGCACCTCACTTCCAGCAAAGCTTGAGCTGGAAAACGACTGCCAACCGACAGCCTTCACTCACCCACCCACTTCTTGTTGGCGTGTGATAATTGAGACAAGGGTGGACAGGAGGCTTTAATAATAAAGGATGGAAAGCTTTCTTCTCTTCCTCCCAATTCACCACCGCCATGGACGAACCAAAAACCTTGAGAGGAAAGAAGAGAGAAAGAAATAAAAGAGAGGGAACTAAGCTCCTGTGGGTTGTGGGTTGTGTTAGAGTAATCAAGGTGTCCGGAAGCCAACTACGAAGTCGGAATCGCCATTGGAGGTTTGTAGAAGCTCATGGGAGGTTGGTCGGAAAGTTGCGTCGACGGCACCGGCGTCGTCGACTTCAACAAAACTCCAAAAGGCTGGTACCATGACAAAGAGGACGATCCCAGGAGCATCCCAGTTTCGACGAAATTAAATTTGGAGGTCTGTAGATACCTCGTCGGAGCTTCGCCGGAACGTCGCCGGAGTGTCGCCGGATTCTGGAAAAATAAACTTCAACAAAACTTCAAAAGATGAATATGGTTGCGAAGAGGGCGATCTCAGGAGCGTCACGGTGCCGACGAAATCGAATTCGGACGTCGGATGAGGGAGAACCGAGTCTCCCAAGTTTGAGGAAGAATATGTCAACCATCCAGGTACCATGTCTGGTAAATCGAAAAGTTAAAGGACCTCTCAGTAATTTTCCTACAGAGACGGGTCAACCTCTTTTTAGTTGACTGGTAAATATCGTATTTAGTCCCTGGTACTTTGAGTACTAACGGAATTCGTATTTCGTTCATAATTCGTTCGTTTGACGTCCAAACGACGAACCGTTTTCACCTACAGGATCGTGAGAACGAGGAGAATATTTTGAAACCAAGATCTGGAATTTCCAGAGCTTTCACAGAATCGGATTTCGTCATAAATAAGGTGTGTGGGCTTACGGTAAAAGGGAACCGGAATTACGTGTTTATTTCTAAATACGCATGATTGAGTTGATGATTAATGATTATGATGGATTTGTGATTGATTCATGATTGTGATCTTGGATGAAATTGTTGATGAAGTTAACTGATTTTTATGATAATAATTATTATTAATCTCGTATTGGAATTGTTATGTATATGGTGAACTCCGAATATTTTATGAAAATGTCTATTGAGATAATAATAAGGAAAGGAAATTTAAGAAATCTTTAGACGACATTAGTCATGATATATTACCATGACAATGATTATATTGGTAATAATTGACTTTTCGGAATTAATTGGAGTTATGACGTTAAAAGGGTGAAATTGGGAATTAATAAATTGGATGAGTATATGAGAAGTGAATTTTGGTTAGAATAATTAAAATAAAGAATTTATGAACTTTGTTGGATTTTTGGATGGATGAAACCGGTTTCTACGTGGTTTCGTTATTAAAGGGAACGTATTATGATTTTCAGAATAGTGGTGATTAAGAGAAAATTATTTAAACTAGAGTGTGAGTTCAAAGATATTACCATGAGTAATTTTATCTTGGATTTAATTTGATTTACGTTTTATGATTAATTTTGAGAAATGGTTATTTGAGTATTTAATTGAAATATTGAAAATAGTCTTATTAATGAATCATGACGAACTATGAGTTAGTTTGTACTTTAAGAAATACTTATTGAGAGATGTGTTATTAGGGGAGACCTGTTCAAATGGACTTTTGATAATCATGAGAATTATATATATGGGTATGGTCCTTAGAATGGTTCCAAGTTATTAATAGAAATTCTTAAAAACAAGATTTTGATCATAATAATTAGTTGCTATTTTGATATAATTAACTAATGGATGATATGGATAAACCGATGTATTTTAGATTATATGGTTCGTATGATAAAATGATTTATGATGAATGAAATATATATTTTTCATTTATATGTATGATTATAATATGATGATGATGATGATGATACGAATATTGATTGCTAGTGATACGATTGACGTGTATGATTATGACGTGATTAGAATATCGATTGGTATAAATGTGATTGGTAATTATAAATATTACTGAGATATTTTGAGATAATGTTGATATGATGAATGATTTGATTAATGATGAGGTGGATGAGATATTATCATATGATCGATTTGTATTTGATGTGTTAAATGATTACGATAAGTGAATGAGGTATTGATAAATTGAGTACTTGGTAGATTTGTCAAGTTTGATTGAGGAGAATGAATTATTTATATCATTGAGAAGATGATGATTATATTGAGATCATGCAATGCATCAAAGTATGCATAGATGATGTGAGATATGCATGGACTGGGAATATCAATGGGACGCTGTTGATTTCTTGGATCGATTGAGATATGATGGAAGAGAGAAATCGATATTGTTTGATCATGTTAAATCACATAGACATAGAAGGGCCTATGCCTACCCCTATGAGATTGATTGGGCTGCGGTCCTAACGAAAGGATTTATGATAATCCTAGATTTGATGAGATTGTGGTTTTCGTTATAACCACTAAGATGATGAGCTCGAGCGGGGTGGGCGTATGGTGACCTTAGCGCGCAAATTAATAATAAATGGAGAGTCTGCATTTCATGCATTGCATATGATATATATACGATGGAGATGATTTCCATGAAGGAAATCGTGAAGTGATATTTGATTGATGATTGATTGAAGGATTGATATGGTTAATGCCAAATTGGTGATTTGATTATGGATGAATGATTGACATGCTTGATGCTTAAATGATGAGTTGACTTTGAATGAAAGATTGATATGATGGATTCATGAGTTGAGGTAAGTTTGCGATTTTATGTCGATATATGACTTGATTAATGAAAGCCATACCATGAGGAATTGGGGTAAAGACAAATTTGGATTGATGACCTAGAAAGAAATCTAGAGATTAATGAGATTTTTGTGTGGCATGATAATTTGTTGATGATGTGTTTTTAATCAACAAGATGTGATGATGTGTTGGCATGCTAACAATAGTTTTGCCGTATAGGCCAGGTCCACACACTCAGCTTAGTAGCTGACCCATTTTTCTTTCTAGATGTGACAGGTGTGATAAATTGAGGATGACTCTGGCACTGCACAATGATCGATGGAGGATTTTGGTTTAAAAGGTTTTTCACCTATTGGTGTATTCTAGAATCCTTATTTCACGATTCGGGTTTTGAGCATGCATGATAGTTTACAATGGTCAAGCATGATCATTAACTTGAGTTGAGTATGAATGGAGTACATAAGATTGATAGTCTGGGTTTGCTGAATCTTGAACTTGACTAAGAGGGATTAATGAATTGAGAATATGATTTTTAGTAAATTGTTATGATGAGTTGAATTTTAAACATGTGAGAATGATGTGGATGTAAGTTGAGTTGGTATTTTGAATACGTAAACCCCGAGTGATTTCCGCTGCGCGGTTGAACCATCGGTTCGACCCATGATTTTAGGTTGGGGCGTTACAGAAATGATAGAATCAGACCACTGTCTGATCAGAGTGGATATCAATTTAAACAACAATCGGAGGGTCACCCCCTTCCGGTTTGACAAAAGATGGAAAGACAATGAGGACTGCAGGGATGGCAATGGGTCGGATTGGGGCGGGTTTTGTCAAACCCAAACCCATGGGTTTATCCGCTAAAAAAACCCGGGGTAAAACCCGTTGGGTTTGAAAAACTCAAACCCAACCCAACCCGTTGGTTATCCGCGGGTTCATGGGTACCCGTGGGTTTTTTGGAAAAAAAATTTACAATAACAAGTTTCTTTCAAAATAAAAGTTTAACATCAATTTTCTCATACAAATTAATCATACAAAAAACACCAATCTAGAGCATACAAGCAAACCGCAAATGATCAATACAAATTATTCAAAATTAAAGATAAACATCTATAAACAATAAAATTAATCGAAAGCTTCTTCCTCATCAACTAAGTTTCTTCACTCTCCACTTCATATTATCAACTTCATTCTAAACAATTAGAAAGAACAAATTATACATGTCTCCACAAACATAAAGAATATTAGTTGTTTAACGAAGATATATTATTTAGAATATTAAATATACCGGAAAAGTAATTATATGTGTGTGGGCGGGTACCCATGGGGCGGGTTTACCTAAACCCAAACTCAACCCGACCCAGTGAATAGTGTAGCGGGTTTAAACCCGAACCCGGCCCAAAACCCGTCAACACGAATTTTACCCGCGTTGACCGGGTTGGGTCGGGTGGGTACCCGTGGGTTCGGGTTTTGTTGCCATCACTAACTGCAGTAACATCATCAAGAAAATTTTGGAAAACTCAGGGAGTTCTACTGTCACCCTAAACCAATGCAAAGTGGAAATTCAAAATTGGGCAACAGAAGACAGAATCGAGAAGAGGAAAAAAGAGGATGAAATAAAAAAAAAAGATTGCAGGATCTGCAATGACCGAAGAGAAACCAGGAATTTGTTGATGAGGAAAAATCCCTCACTGGAGAGCTTGTGGAAATGTGGAGAAAGGAGGAAGTCTTTTGGGCTCAAAGATCTCGGGCTGGATGTCTTAAAAAGGAGACCAAAACTCTTCCCTTTTTCATGCTTGTACTATCCAGATAAAAAATTCTAATAGGATCCTCAGATTGAAAGACACGAGGGGAACTGGATCAACAATGAACCACAACTGAAGAATTTGGCCAAAGACTACTACATCAACCTGTTCCAAGCTAGAACCCCTGTACAGATTGATCACCTTTTGCTGGACTTCTCTCATCTTGTGTCGGCATATATGAACACTCATCTCTGTGCTTCTGTGAGTAGTGAGGAGATTAGGAAAGCGGTTTTCCAACTTGGTCCATCCAAGGCCCCGAGTCCGGATGGCTTCCCTGGTTTCTTTTTTAGAAAGTTTTGGCACTTGATTGGCGAAAAGTTTTGTGTCGAGATTAGATCCTTTTTTGAAACTGGGAATCTACCTGAATGGTGGAATGATACACATTTCTCCCTTGTTCCCAAGGTTAATGCCCCGGAAAGTATAGTCAATTAGCTGCTGCAACTTCCGGTATAAGGTTGTCACAAAGAGCATGACTACTAGACTATGGATATGGCTGCCGAATCTGGTCTCTGAACTCCAAACTGCTTTCACCGGGGCAGACAAATTCAAGATAACATTGCCATTGCTCATGAGGTGCTGCTCAACCATTTCAAGAATCACAAGACACGAAACCTCCGGGACATGATGTTGAAGCTGGACATGAGAAAAGCATACGATCTTGTTGATTGGGATTGCTTGGAAAAAATTCGGAGTTGTACGGTTTTGATTAGAAGTGGATTGGATGGATCAATGAATGTGTGAGAACTATCAATTTCTCTATCATATTCAATGGGGAAGCAACCTTGTTCTTCAACCCATCAAGGGGAATCAGACAGGGAGACCCTCTTTCCCCACTCTTGTTTATTCTCCTCTCCAATGTTCTTACGTTCTTAATTGATAAAGCTGCTAGGAAAATTTGTTTTAGGGGATAAAACTAAATAGACATTGTCCTCTTCTCACCCATTGCATGTTTGCTGATGATACAGTAATTTTCGGTCGTGCATTGCTGGAAGAAGCAATTAACAATCATAGTATTATCTCAGACTACAGCAGTATTACATGACGAGAAGTTAACAACCAGAAATCGTCAATTTTCTTTAGCTGCAATGTGGAGAATGAGACAAAGGATCTTATTACTCAAAACCTGGGTTTTGCCTCATCCAATTGCCACAAGAGCTACCTGGGGGTGCCTACTGAATGGGGACGATCCAAGAAAGAAACTTTCTACTTCCTGGTTTCAAGAATGGGAAAAAAGGGTGAATCATGGAAAAACCTCCTGCTTTCTCCGGGAGGGAAAGAAGTTCTTCTCAAATCAGTCATCCAAGCTATTCCGACCTACATCATGAGCTTCTTCCTCCTTTCCGTCTCAATCACAAAGAAAATGGACTCCATTCTTCACAAATTTTTCTGGTCGGGCTTCTATGCA